TAATTTGAAATTACGAATCAAAAACATGGGCATGAGATTTTGAAAATAGTTTGAAAGTGCTGTGTATGCTGTTACTCTTGCTTTTATCCAAACAAAATACAATAAATAAATTATATATTAAAGGTTTCATGAATTTATTCAACTAATCCAATTTTACCAATAATTTAACTTCATATTTATTAAAATTTTCAGATTTATTTTGTTTTTTTTTTAAATAATACAGTGCTAAAAATGTTATTCCTTCCCTTTCTAATATTAAATCCTTTGAAAATTAATCAAAATACATTCCTATACATTTAATGTTTGTTTATTTGTTTGTTTGTTTTTTTTGTTTTTTTTGTTTTTGTTTTTGTTTTTTTTTTTTTTTCCTTCAAATTTAAATGTTAAAGTATTGTCAAAGTATTTTGGAGGTTTTTTGCTTCAAAATATTTTACCAAATTTTGCAGTCAAAGTAATCTGAAGACTAGAAATAATTGATATTACAAATATTTAATTAGAATAGGAGCATTACAATGCAAAAAATCATGTATAAGCTATATTTCATTAAAAAAAGATGACTTTGAATATTTACAAATTCATTATTTGCTATTTTATAAAAAATTCTCCTAATGAATGTACTGTAAATAAAAAGTGTAAAATAATTTAGATGCGAGATTTATTAGTTATGTATATATATATATATATATATATATATATAACATAATAATAAGTTTGCAATAACTTTTTTGAATAATGATTACAAGCTATCATAAAAGGATTCTGTAATTAAAAATTGAACCAACAATCGTTCTATAATTCTAAAAATATCAATTTTTACAAGATTGGTTATTTTGATCATATTATATTGTAATGAACTTAATTTGACACTATACTTTATTTTTCTGAGCATGAAATCAAATTGTGTACTATTTGTAGCTTTTTGGTAGCAATACTTTTGTTACTTTGTGGAATCGTCACATTTATTTTGAAGCCTACTATTACTACTAGCAAACAAAGACTCTGAAAAATTGTTTTAGGTTTTAATTCGATCCAAATATTTAATACAAGAAATAACTAATGTTGTGATTATATTACAGAGATAGATATTAATTAGTTACGAACACCAAGAGTAATTTACAAATGTGGGAATATTCTTAGAAAACCTGAAAAGCTATAATACTCCTACAGAAGCAATAAAAAATATTCATTAGTGCACTAATTAAAAATGGATAAAATAATTTAATGTCATTCATGCACCACATTTTTTTTTTATTATTTGTTCAACTCAATCACCATATTTATTACTCTTTTTTTGAGCAAAATGACTTTGATGATTTGATCAAATTTTAAATCTTTCCTGTTATTTTTTTAGTTTGTATGGAGCAAAACAATTATGGGTACTCTTAGTTTTGACAAAATAAAAGGACTAATTTACCTAATTCTTCGACATTTTCTTAAGTATAAAATTTAATAAACTCATTTTCTAAAATAGTTTATTCTTAATCAAAGTGAAATCAAACGTGCTCAGGATTTCACTTGATTCTAAATTTTATAAATGCACTGTATGTATTTGTAGTTCTATAATATGTATCTATGCATTCGAATTAACATTTACTACTTACTTAAAAAAATTGGGTAAGGGATACTTTGAACATCACAGTTTATTTTTCTTAAGATCAATGTAATCAAAGGTCATAAGAATAACTGATTATACTTATTCAAACATTCTTGTTACAAATAATGAATTTATAAATTATATCAAACTTAAGTTTAATAGAAATAACACTTGGATTGATATTGTGAAGGGGATTTAGAGACAAAATATTTGTTCAACTATTTTTTTGTAATCTTATGTAAATTTTAATCTTGCAGAAGTAATTGCATTTTGAATTGCAAAAAAGTAAAAAGTAAGAAATAAAAAGTAAACAATGTGATACATTGAAATTAGTGTTAAACAGAACTTAAGATTCTGTTGCTAATAATCTGTGAAAGGAGTTCCAATAAAGTAAATTAAGATGTTTCTATATCAAGTAAAAACAAATATATGATAAATTACGAAGTTAATACAAAAGGCGTGTATATATATATATATATATATATATATATATATATATTTAAAAATAATTATTCGATATTTTACTATTTATTGAATAAACAACCCATATTAAAATAGATGTAAATATTTGTTTTTCAATAAAATAACTCTGAATTTGAAATGATTCTTAATATCTTCATATTGTATTATTAAAAAAATTGCACCATTATGTATTTACATTTATATGATCATTATTTATCTTTCATGCTGCACATATATTGCTAAAAAGAATGGAGTTATTTCAGTTCAATTTTTACCATATATATACCAATTAAAGACATTCAAAGATTAATTTAAGGTGACTCTCAATTTTTGGTGATAATATCATTGTTGTTGTTTGTTTGTTTGTTTGTTATTTTCTTCATTTAAGTTTCATCTTATAGTTTATTATTTATATAAAAAAAATATAAAAAAGTCACCAAAACTCAGTTCTTACTCATTACTTAAGATGTGATAAAATTTTAACAATTTATTTCTTTATTTCCAGTATTAAATTTTATATTGTGACACTTTTTACAATGACTTTACCCTCTGCAGAAGTAATATTTAATCCTTGAAAACCTTCAACAAAGTATAGTATTTGATTGTTTAAAAGGATAGACGTAGATGCTATTTTTGTGCTGTTTTTTTAGATCTTGTGTACAAATTAATTCAATTTTTGAAGTGTTATGTCTAATGTCATGAAGGCCAAATCTGGTGATTGTAGTTATTTGTAAGAGTAATAAGTTTTATTCAGCAGAAAAAAGTGATATAATTTGTTATTCATTTGCTTGTCAGCAAAACAAATGAATATTTTAATACCAAATAATAAGACAGACAATTATGGGTAAATTTTAGTAAAAACGGCCTTTTATGTAATGAAAAACACAAGAATAATTAGATTGGACTTAGTCAATTTCAAATCATCAGACACCTTCTTGTGAAGAAATGTAGACTAAAAATAATCGGTTTTCAGATGATGCGGATACAATAAGAAAAAAACAAAAACAAGTCTTTTTAATCTTTAGACAATATCTTCGATTTTTGCGTAAGCCAATTTGAAATGTTCTAATAAAAGAATCCCATAGTTTTGAATGATCCAGTTGCTTAAGAAGCCACATGCCTAAAAACATGTTGCAATGCAATTTATTGGGATTTGTAGTGTTACTACTCCATGTGTCTAAAGAGATGTTGTGAATATGTTTTATAAGTTAAAATTTATTGAAACGATTATTTAATACATGATTAAAAAAATCATCAAATGCATTAAAATTTTGATGTAAAAGTTGGAATCTGAACAAAGAATGATCATTTTTGTATGCAAAATTAACATAAACTGTTAAAAACCTCATATTAATTAGAATAGCTTGACATGTGTGAGTTACAGAATTGTTGTCACAAAGTTCTAGAAATATTATTGTTAAGTTTTAAAAAACGTGCCACTCTTTTGAAATACTTTATTTTGCATATTTTTTAATATCAGCGCTACTTTATCAAAATGCTTGAATTTTTATGAAATTATAAATTATAATATTGGATACATTTTTGTTTACCTATTTACTCATGAAATATATGTTTTTGTTTGTGATACATCCAAAATATTAACAAAATAATGTAATATTTATTTTAAATATGTAAACATTCATTTTTGAAGCAACAAATTGTGTATTTTAAATATATATATATATATATATATATATATATAAAATGAAAAGGGAACAAAATTGCAGGTTCTACAAACGCATGCCATGTTGAATGAAACGGCCTCGAAGACGTCGAAGAAACGAGGCCTCTTACTCTGCAACGGCTCACTCACTCACTCGCCTGCTTCGAAGGAGGAGGAGGAAGAGGAAGAGGAAGAGAAGGAATCGCAGGTTGGGGAAGTAGAATCCGGCGCCGAGGGAGACATGGAAGAGGAATCGTGTCATTGTGTATTTGTGTGTGTATGAATGAGAGAGCACAGACACACTACCACTCTTGAAGGTCTTTTCAATCTGATTTCGGACACCTTACGCAGCAGCATGCGACACAGCCCCGAAGGTGCAACAAGAAGCACCGCACAGTACTACACTACAGCCATTTCTGACCCGCTGTGGATGGGAACGCCTAGCTCGAATTTAGAAAGACCGGAAGCCAGTAATTCTTGTCATCCAGATTTGGTCGCTGCCCCCACACATCCAATCTGCCAGGACCATGCATCGAAAGTGTCACTTGGTCAGCATCGTGACCACCGTTTGCGCGGAAACGACGACGCGAAACTTCGAGCACATGGAGACCCGAGCGCCGGGCGCAAGGGCGTTGGTAGTGTCAGCAGCTACAGCCAAAATCCATTTCGAAAAACAGATGCGGAATAGATCTGGCGCCACCCAGTGGAACCCCTTGGCTGGCTAAACTTGCTCCCTTTTTTTCTTTTTTTCTTTTTCTTTTTTCTTTTCTTTTCCATCCCCGCGCATCAGCCACAGGGGACTCACTCGCGCGCGTTTTCCGCACCGCGGAATTATCCCCCGTGCCTCGTCCGCCGATCGAAATCCCTCCCGTAATTTGTACCACGGGCCGTGAATACCTCCCCAAGACAAGAGAACGAGAGAAACACTGTCGATCCAAATGTCGTTCATCGGTCGGCCGATCCGAGAATCTTCTGGAAGATTTCAAACACGGGGATTGTAATAGCAGACGACTGGCTAAAACTCGAGAGACCCAGGTGTAGGAAACAGTGGAAATCTGCTCTGCGAGCACCATAGCCAAGAATAGGCTACAAAGGAGAAACGTATGTCGCAGAGGGAGTACTAAACTGGGCTAGAAACTGGGTTGGCAAAAGACGTCCGCGACGGTTTCTGCGGAGGAAGAGTTGAAAAGCGGTAGGATGAACAGACTGCGATGAATGAGGGACGCAGTGAGCGAGAGAGTGAGGGACGAAACGAAACGTGAGGAAGTTGGGATCGGTGAGGACTCCACAGTTGCTAACCCAACAAGAGGAGTGAATCGCCACGCGCAATGAGCGGCGGAGGGCACTTACTTGCGCGGCTCGGCGCTGGGTGAACGAGCGATTGGTTCAGAGAGTCGTGGCATTGGTCAGACCTAAGGCCTTTCTCTTCCACCCTCCCCTCCACCCTCGCTTTGTGCCTGCATCGCGTCGTCCCCCCGCTGCAGTCTCTATTCTCTGCCAGACACCTTGCAGTCTTGCACGTCACCCACCTTCTTCCCCTTTCCTACCCTTTCCTATTTCCCTACTTGTGCAGGCTGCAGCAACAGCCGAGCCTTCCAGCTCCTGTGCGCTCCTCCAGACGCGGAGAGCTCTCGGGAGCTCTGGCCTTCTCGCCCTGGGGTGGCATCAGATCATAGCCTGGTAGGAGCCCCAACCGAACCTTTGGTTAGGCAATGCACGTCGTCCTCGACGTTGGGTTTGTATTGGTTGGTCTGCTGGACATGAAGGGGCTGTCTATGTGACGCCTTGTTGGAGGGTTGCTGAGGTATGAAGTTGTTGGTTCGGTCGCGGTGGTTTGTTTACTGTTGCTCTTGTGTTGCAGACGTGTAGAGAGCGGTGGCGTGGTGGTTTGGTTTCAGTGTACTGGTTAATCACATACAGAGCTGGTGAGCTTGTGCATCACTGGAGATAGAGAAAGAAGGGATCTTGCATTAGTATCAAAGCAGTAGATGACAAGGTTGTAGGTCGCTGCATTGGCGGAAAAAAGAGAAAGAGAAGCATGAATGGGAAGTGACGGCAATGTGGAGGAAGTTCTCGAAGTGGAGTGGGAGGGTGGAGATGAAGATCTAACGGCACTGTTGTGCAGTGACATACTAGTCGCAAGTCACAGATAGGTGTTATTGGAAGCATTAGTGGACCACAGGTGTCTGGAGCCTCGGCACGCCTTTGGGTTTCTATTGAGTTGCAGTGTGGTGCATGGCAGTGTGGAAAGCAGGCGCGTCGACCTGCTTTCAGCTTGGCGGAATGGGGACTAGTATGAAGATCTTATTGATGGCATCTGTATTTGTATCTCTTCTCGCGGCTGTTTCGGCCACTGGTATGTCTCTCTCTGGCATCCTGAACTACTTCCCGTTCATCAGGCTTAAGTCTTGCTCGACTTGCCTGTGTCAAGGTTATCCCTACTTAATGAAAGTAATCGATGTTTCCTTTTTGGAGACTCTGAAAGCATGGTGTAATCACTGTACGTCAAAGTCTGATTTGAGGTTAATCTGGACTAGGTTCGTGTGAAGTGGGTTGGACCTAGATTATTGCAGTGTCGGCATGTTTGGTTACGCATAGTTGGTTCGAGCATTGAGGTAATGCCAAGCAGGTCTTTTCCCTTTTCTCGTATAATTTGGGGACACAGATAGGAATTCCCTGCGTTTTATAAGTTTAGGTCTTCATGTTCTAATTTGGCACAACAGGCCCGCATGGGATAGCATACCACCCTTACATGTGTTCCCTTGACCAGATGCTCCTGTTCATCTCATGCTTGCTCATGATGGCTCATCGTTGTCTGAGACGTGTGATAAGCGCTTTCACTATGCATTTTTCCGTAACTTTTTGCCTTTTACTTGCCGACTATTTCGGCGAACTTCTTTTAAGTATGAGATCTGATTGCAGTCTGAAGTTCTGAAATAGAAAGCGCTCTAGACGCATCACATGGATGTTGAGTTCCACGTGTTTGCAACTTGTATAATCGTGGTAACATATTCTACTTCTATTGTGGATTCTGCAGTCAAGTCCGTTATAGACTGTTGTTCCTATTCTTATTTCATTCGGACCTGATGTCGTATTCGATTGTTCCGTGATTGATCTTTGGATTGTGTTCGCTTTCATGTATGATAACATATTTGAGATGTGGTTATAACTCATGCTTGCTTTCTGAGGACAGATGAGAATCCTTTCTTTGGTAATCGTCCCATTGGAAACCATCCACCAGGTGTGGGTCACCATCCTCCCGGAGTTGGTCGTCACGGTCCCGCGTGGAGTAAGTGGAGAGCCTACATCGCTCTCCAGGCATGGAAGAAGGCAATCGTCGATGATCCCAATGGTATCCTCGATACATGGGTTGGGAAAGACGTATGCGAGTACAAAGGAGTTTTCTGTTCCCCTCCCGAGGATCCAAATCTCTCTTATCTGGAGGTGGTCTCTGGAATAGATCTGAACGAAGCCGACTTAAAGGGTCCTTTGGTGCCTGAGCTCGGATTGCTTCGCGAGATTGGACTGTTCCACTTGAACAGCAATCGGTTCTACGGAACCGTCCCCGATTCATTCAGGTACATGAAGACCCTGTTCGAGCTCGATCTCAGCAACAACCATCTCACCGGAGAGTTTCCTCAGGTGCTTCTGGACATCCCCCTTCTGGAATATTTGGACATCCGTTTCAACAAGTTCTACGGCAAGTTGCCGAGGGAGCTTTTCTCAAAGCGTCTTGATGCTCTGTTTGTGAACAACAACAACTTCAACGGCGAGATTCCCGACAATCTTGGAGAGTCTACAGTCTCTGCTTTAGTTCTCGCCAACAACTACTTGCACGGGAGCATCCCCAAATCCATTGGAGACATGAAGAACTTAAATGAGATTGTCGCTCTGAATAACGACATCGATGGTCAACTTCCTGATAACATTGGTAACCTCAAGAATGTCACCCTATTCGACTACAGCGACAACCATATCACAGGAGGATTGCCGAAGAGCATCAAGGGCATGTCCAGTCTAGAGACTTTTGATATGAGCAAGAACAAGCTGGGTGGCATTGTCACGGCCGAGCTTTGTGAATTGGACAATATCAGCGCCATCAACTTGGACAATAACTACTTCACTGGTGTTGCTCCTTCTTGTGCTGCCCTAGGCGATATCTTGTCTCTCGACGGAAACTGTGTTCCTGGTTCTCAAGGACAGAAGGACGCAGCCACATGCGCAGCATTCTACTCCCCTCCATCTGGTGGAACTCCTAACCCAACTCCTCCATCCCCTGTTACACCCTCTCCTCCTCCACCCTCACCATCTCCTCCTCCCCCCTCACCATCACCTCCTCCTCCTACTCCTGTTACGCCCCCTCCACCTCACCCTGAGCCAGAGTGTCCAGAGGGTTACGCGCCTGGATACAAGTCTGGCACCTGTTTCATGATAGTAAAGGAGCCAAAGACCTGGTCTCAAGCCGAGTCTTACTGCCGCGAGCATTCTGATGGTAACTTGGCAGCGGCTGCTGATTGGGCGGAGCTTGAGGATCTTGGTGTCCTCTGCTTCAAGTCGAATGTAACAGTATTTGGCGATGCAAGTAACCCTCTGGGTCTTGGTTGCTTCTTGGGCGGGCGGAGGCCGTACTCACTCAATCCCGCAACCAAGGGTTGGAACTACCCCTTGTCTCCCTGCGTTGAATTCAACCAAACTTGGTGGAACTACGGTGAGCCCAACAACCTGGGAGGATACGAGGGCTGCCTCACTGTTAAGTTCGAGTCTGAGGAGCAGGCGAGAAACCCTGCTAAGCTTCCATACATGCTGAACGACCTGAGTTGCGACGTCCGGCTGCCGTTCATCTGCGCATTGACTAGGTGCGAGGATGTGGGATGCGATTTGCCTGAGACTTGCAAGACCTTCGGTGACAAGCAAGCTAAATGTTATTCGGACCACAGGAACTCGGTGGGCTACGGCTGCGACTGCAGTGCCGGGTACTATCCAGATGGCTCTGGAGCATGTGTCCCTCGTAGCTCATAATTCATCAGGGCTTGTGCTTTCTTTCGGACGTGATGTGGTTCAGATGCCGTAGATAACGCTGCAGTGCAGGTGGAATGGACCAGTTGGGCGACTTGGATTAGCAGCAGGTAGTGTATGTGGAGAAAATTGCTAGGGATTAGACAGATCTTGGATGGTTTATGATAATGGCTGTCGGAAGGTGGAGTGATGACATCTCGGTGAGTGTTGCATCATCTCTCTCCTCCCAAGTGGCAACTAGACAACAGGCAATCAAAGATTGCTGATTAGGTGGCCTTGGGTGCATTTACTCGTCCCACTGCCCTCCTTGCAGGTTAGGACAGAATGTCTTCGATGAGGAAAGGGTTTTGGTTAGATCGGGCATTTGTCGATTTCTATCCATTTAACTGCTATGCCAGATACTTATTAGGCGGTGGGATCTAGGAGGGTGGAAGAGCTCTGTGCACTTCATTGTGCTGGGCCTCTGGGTTTTTCTGAGTTACCCCTCTGCCGATTCTTTGACAGTGAATAGTTTATTCATTTAGAGTGAGCTTTCTTATTTTTTTTTTTCTTTTGTAAAAATGTGGTGTAACGTTGTGCTTGAGCCTACACTTCATTTGTTCGCTTTATCTCTTGTCACCTCATTATGTAGTTCTTCAATAAGACCTCAGTGACCATGTTTACCACTTTTTACTTCGCCACATTATCTTTCGACTGTTCGTATTGTTTGTATTATGAATACATATAATTACTTGTTTTGCACTCTAATTTCTTCCACGTCAGTCTCTTGCCGCCACGATTCCCCGCATGCTCTCTGTCATGGATGTCATGAAGCATATTATTCCAGGTGAATGTTTCAGGTACTTCATTGTCTCATGCGTTTGTATGCAATCGTCACAGTATCTGCAAATGAGTTTGACAAGATTCAAATGTCTCCAAGTCGAAATGATAAGACTCTGGATCTTTTCTGTTCGCTCCAGAGCGAGTCATTGAATGACCGTTAAGCTGACCGGTCTGCACTGTCTGGAACTATCTAGAGTGACCAGATGTGATTAAAGAACAATCCTTAGCTGAAGAACCGTTACTTCGGTAGTAAAGAAACGATGATCTTGTCGTTGAAACTGCATTTTCAAATACGTAAACGAACAAATAGAATCGTATGAGGAGCCTTGTACCTACCATGGCAATCTTCCAATATTAAATTGCATCCTTTCTAACTTTCAATCGAAACCCTAAGAAACTTCAACACTTGATCAAGTTTCTACATTAACAATAGCCGAGGTCCATTCATTGAAACAAAAAGAGAACCAACTTACAAACCATAAATCCCACTACTTTTTCAACAACTGGATTTAACAAAAAATCCAGTAAAAAAAGCTGCAAAAGTTTACAAAACACCGATTTATTGGCCTCCCACAGCTCAGCAACGCCATGCCAACGCTCATCGGATGAATGATATTCACACAAGACGATAAAACGTTCATCCATGAAGTGGAGCTCGACGAATGTCGTCCATGTGGTGGATGAGTGAGACTTCATCCGATAAATTCTGTTCTGACACGTCAGCAGAAAGAGGGAAGGGACGGAGAAGGTGAGGATGGGGGGACCTTCTAGGAAATTCCGCCTTCCGAGGTAGACAGAGAGAGCTATTATCTCTAGCTTCTGAGCACTGGCCATCTGCCAGAAAGGGGCATCAACAAGTGCCTCGAATCCAATCGTTGTTTGTTGTAATTGTTGTTATTTGTTGTTGCCGTGTTTTGCTCCTCCGAAATCCGACGTACCCAACTTCTTCGCCTCGTCGTTACCTTCGTATAGAACCATTATTCTTCAGTCAATTGCTGTGAAGGGGCGGCGGATACGCGAGAGCAGTTTTGGGGCTCTCCTCCTGGTTGCTTGCTTGCTTCTACACGAGGTGCTGCTGCTGTTGCTGAATTTTACATACAATCACCATGTTTGGCAGGTTGTTTGGCAAGCCCAAGGAGGAGGTCTCCACTCTTTCCACACTGGACAAGCTCAATGAGGTGAGAGAGAGATGGACCGATGTTTGTGATGTGGTGTAGCCTTGTGTGCTCGGAATCGTGAATTTTAAGTGTGGGTTTTAGAGTTGGCTTGGAGACGGGAGTGTGGGTGGGTAGTGTGTGTGTAGGGGGCTCTGGTATTGCTGGGGTTGGGGTAGATCGTGGGGGTGTAATGGGTTTGAGACGGCTGAAAGATTGCTGGCTTGATGGCGACGACAGACCCTGGAGATGCTAGAGAAAAAGGAGAAAGTCTTGCAGAAAAAGATAGCTATGGAGATTGAGAAAGCTAAGGAATTCACGAGATTGAAGAATAAGAGAGGTGAGCAGTTGGGTTTGTGCTGTGTGTCTGACGTTGGGGATATTTTCGTTTGGGTTGCATGATAATTTAGGGTTGTTTCAAACGAAGGGACGTGAGTTCAAACGCTTAGGTTTGCTGATGAGCGCTGTGTTTGTGATGGGTTTGACAGCTGCGATTCAGTGTCTAAAACGGAAGAAGTTGTATGAAGTCCAAGTAGAGCAACTCGGTAACTTCCAATTGCGTATTCACGATCAGGTCTGATCCTCCGCCCTCTCCCCGTTCATTTCACAATGTTGAATCTGGAGTACATGCTGAGAATTGAAATTTGATGATTGAATACCGTCAAATTGCTTCAGAAATTCCGCAATTTCAGACCAAATAGTGTCTATTCAATTCTTCGTTCATCTGTAGTTACCATCTCGCGTCAAATTTTTGTGCAGATGATTATGTTAGAGGGTGCTAAAGCAACTACAGAAACTGTGGACGCCCTACGTAGTGGTGCCGCAGCTATGAAGGCGATCCAGAAAGCCACGTACGTGCTTGTCCTTTTACCTCAGCTGTCTCTTTTGTCACTTCGCGTTTTTCGTTGTTCTTCGAGTTTGTTTCAAAAGAGAATTCTATTGTCGATTGTGGTTAACAATGATCATGCCTCATGAGTCGTTGGAAACCTCTCGAGTCAATTCATGTCAGTGACTTTTTGTTGCACTCATTTTACTTGCTCGGGCTAGAGTGTGCACATTTGCTTGGTCCAACATGAGCAGCTGTGGCGGCCATCTGTAATTTTTTTTCTCTGTGAATATGTGAACCGTGGACCCTAATTTGCTAATATCGTGTCCCACAGAAATATTGATGATGTAGACAAGACCATGGATGAGATTAATGAGCAGACCGAGAACATGAAGCAGATTCAAGAGGCACTCTCAGCTCCTATTGGAGCAGCGGCTGATATTGACGAGGTGAAATCCAACTTCCAATTATGGGTTTCTTTGCTGGTGGTGGCATCTCGGAAGAGATGCTATTCAGCAGAAATACTGACACCAATAAGCTCATTAGAATTGAATTGTTTCCCTTCTCTTTTTAGCAAATGGGAAGAGGAACAAATTGAATTCAAAAACTAGTTGGTGCCAGCGTGAGTTGATATAATATCAAATATTCATAATACCTTTTCTTTTGTAAACACATTAAGAATTAGTTGGATTGATCATTGTTGATAGACTTACGTGCACCAAGTCGCTTTACTCTTGGCTTTTGCATAGAATGGATTGCCCTCATGTTCTAAATTTGGTTTATATCTCAGATATTAGTTTAAGCGATTTTACATGGAATGTTATACAGTTTGTGAGACCGTAACGGAACGGCCTTGGATACCAGCTCACTTAGTTGTGGTCAATGCTTTGCAGGACGAGTTGGAAGCCGAGCTTGAGGACCTTGAAGGAGCCGAGTTAGAAGAACAATTAATTAATCCATCTGCCCAGGAGCTCCCACAAGCATACCGGCCTAATCCAGTTCCTGCTCAGAAACCCAAACCAACTCAGGTTAAGGAAGAGGAAGACGAACTTGCAGCTCTTCAAGCTGAAATGGCTCTTTAGAGACTTGACGCCTCCAATTGCTGCTTGAATCTGAATTTTTATGATCACATCAGGTCAGGCTTCTATCCGCTTTCGCTTCAGGTTTGTCCCAACTTGATACCCAAGGGCATTGTCGCTACAACGAATATACCGATAACTGAAAATCACAATGAGAACCGACTCGTTTTCCAGAATTCTGGATGCTGGGCCGGGTGGTACTTGACACCGATGATGGATTTTAGCCTCAGCACTTCTTCAGTCGTTTGGAATGGTGAAATAACTCTTAGAAATTAACTCAAATCTCGGCATGCCCTGTAGAGAAATAGTTTAACTATCAAGAATTTGGCATGGATTTCTCTTCTCCTTTGCGCCTCATGAGATCAGCAATTGGGTCGCTACTGATTGCTTGTCCTCCTGTTGCTGCTTGTGTATTACTGTAACTCCTACCTTCTTCATATTATTTTTTAAAGCTACCTTGACATATACCATGCGCACAGGTTACAGCAATTTACTACAGGATCTAGTGAAACGTTAGCATTACTACCAAAGTGATCCTGCTGATTGTACTCCAATGTGAGGATTGTATTACCAAAACATTAGTTTTTAAAACCATGACGATGACGCTTGTATTTTCGTTTGTTTTTTTAGCATTTTTTGAGACTTGTTGAAGCACTTGCATCTCTGGATCTGTCTTGTGCAACTGTTAAGCAATTGGAGTTATCAACTTATTTCTTCTAGTTGTGATCATTTGCTGTTCTTCTGAAAGTTAACAATACATCATGAGAAGTGTTGAAAGCACACATTTAATGAAGGGGATTGATTGAGATGATTATTGATCAGAAAATTAAAGACCACAAAAGTAAAGAAAAAAAATGGGGTTGCAGCAAGTTAGTGGTTCCGAATTGTCAACTACACACTACAATGTAATGACTTTTGAAAGTCCACAACAAACATGTAATGTGTTTTCTTACACCTTAATTGTGGGGAAATAATAACAAATATAATTTTAAAAATTATTTCATCATCTCATCATATTCAATCTAATTTGATTGTATTGTTTGACTATTTCAAAGTTTTATTTGCTTTTGATGTAAGTTCAACATGTTCTCAAAAATTGTGCTAAATTTAGATTTGTGTATGTATAAATCCTTCTAATTTAGGACATTTTGCTATTTGGGCTATGGTAAGTTTAATATAGGACACAACTAAATGTAAGTGGAGTAGGTTTTAAAATGTGTACATGCTAGAGTATTTAAAGTGCAATAACTACTTTGACATCTTATAGATGTCTTCTTATAATTGCAATTATAAGGTGGCAAAAAATCTTAATATGACAAATGTCATAGATTAAATTGAATTGTCTTAAATTAAAAGGACATATGCATGTATAAAATTGCTAAACATACATAAAAAAAAAATTAATCAATGTTATCATTCACAATTTAAAAAGCATTTCTATTGGAATTCTAAAGATTATATCAAGTTGATGATAAGAATAAATTCATACATCAAATATTACACAAGATTTTTTTTTTTATTATTATTTTTTAATTTTATTTCTTTCTTTACATTTTTATAATGTAATTATATTGATCATATTAAGATTTGTATTTTATACTTTTTGAAATAAAATTAGTGCATAATTATACTTTTACATGCAAAACTAATATATATCAAAAATCACAATTAATATGTATATAATTTATAATTTTTTTTAACTTAACTTGAATTAGTTTAAGTATAATTGTTGTTTAATTCAACTTCTTATGCTTCTCAATCTTAACCTTTAACTTTAATAAAATCATTAAATTCATTAAATAAAAAATAAATAAATGAAGCTTATTTATAAACTAATAATCTAATTTTAATTTTAATCAATAATATGAAGAATAAAAAATAATTAAAAATTTATCCCAAATACAACTTAATAGACTATACAAAGTTAATGATTTATTTTAATTTTTTTTATTATTATAAATATGGTTATGTTTGTTTTGGAATAGATATATAATAGATATTAGAACATCATGACATGTGAAAAATCACAATATTAAACAAAATTATTTGGACCAATCTTTGTAAAAGATATTAGGAGAATTTTGACACTTCTATAATTGTAAAAATGCTTAAAGGAAAGACAAAGAACCAAGAATTTCTTAAAATTAGTTACATGTGCACAATAGCAAAATGCAAATATTTTGCTATTATCTTTGGTTGAGGCATAATTGAAAGAAATAAAAAAATAAAAAATACAGAATAGATGGGAGAATTAATCTTTGTTGTTGTTTAACAAATAAATATTTCTTGTGAGAATCTATAGAGAGATATGTCCTTCAATCCAAAATTCTTTAAAAATACAATAAAAGTAAAGATCTATTTAATCAAACTACTATAACACCTTCTAATGATAGACTTAAGCATGTTATCTCATGATGCCAAGAGTGAACTCCAAGCAAAGACAAATAAAAGTGGCTCTTTGTAGTTTAGCACAAGTTTAAACTAGAATTCTTTGATGAACTTTTTCAAAAGCTTCAGTAAGAGAGCTTGTCCTACATTCTTCTGTGTACTACTATGATATTTATATGCACTCAAATTCCTCCAAAAACCATTAAAAGTAGTGAAACCATTTTGTCCTTGTAGATTTAACTTCAAATTGAAGTGAGGCAAATTTGCATTCATCTATATTTATATTGCAAATATCCATGTGGATATATAATAGAAATTCATTCAGAATTTGTCGCAATTTCTCAGCAATCGTTTGTAGCAGTTGAAGCCAACGTGGTGATTTCGGTACTAAATTTGCTTGATTCGACGGAATGATCACGATCTTTCGTCTCGAGCACGAAACGTATGGGGCGTCGCTGGCGATGTGGAGGATGAACTGAAGTCCAACTTGCGGAATGTAGTGGTCGTGCGTCGATAGAATCAGTGAACGGTACATTTGATTCAGTTGCCACAGCCGCGCATTCCCTCGATTCCACCGATTCTTGCTGCTCACGATATAGTCGTGGTAAATGAAGCATCCATTGATATGGGGTTTGACTTGATTAGAAACCCTTCACGTCTGATCCACCATCTCAAACCCAACTTTCTTTCTGGCAGAGAAATCAGTTTGGCTTCAAAATCCGACGTCTTCTGTGAACAACTGCCTCGAAGAACTCGTTTTTGAGACGAATTCGTCGTCAGGTTGCTCGATTCAAGTGGTGGAGATTAGAGAAACGACGAGATGGCCCGGTTCGATTGAGCTTCTTCACGTTGATCTTCACTGTCAGTGTGGACGCAAAGAGATCGATTCTGGGTCCTAGTTCCAGATCTGCTGCGGCTGTGCGACCACTGCTCCTGGTCGCAAAGGATCGAACAGAACGAGACCCATCTGCAGAATCACGTTGTGGGTGCAGATCGTTGGGTCCCGGAGTCTCGCGGTGCCGACACCGTGTCGAATGCCTGCATCTTGTCGTCACCCTTTTCTCCGTCTTGTGAGTTCGGTGGAGGACATCCCTTTTTATTGAACATACCGAAGTGCAAAAAAATGTCCCATGACTTGCTTGTTAATTATGGTAGAATCGGTTTCATTTATTCAAAAAATACACACTAAATAGGTAGTTGATTACTTCAAATAACACAAGAAGCAAGAAAATATTGAAGGTTAGGGATTTTGAGGGTTGGATGGACGGGTTTGATTGTAAAAGGTTCACGATAGTCCATTGATTTTATGCATGTTTGTGGAAGTATTTGCCATTGAATTGAAGAATAGTTTAGATTTGAAGATTCTTAGTTTAAAATTTTGATGATTAATATTTACCTCTATTGAGTTATTATTTGTTAGATTATAACCTCTTTAAAGTTATGAAAAAATAATAGAATCCACATGATTCTATAGTGATAAATTATCTCTTGCTAAGTTATAACCTCCCACAAGTTCTACTTTAGTGAGTTAATATTGTATATATATATATATATATATTCAATCTTGGTCTTACTAAAACCATCTCTTATCATATTGTGGAATATAACAAATTTACTGTGAAAATCATTTTGGCACCTACAATCATAAAAATATTTATACAATTTTTTTGAAACAAACAAAAAATTTGTTTTCAAAACTCTAGAATTAATAGTTTACATTTGTAGAAATTAAAACTTGATTTTGATTAAAAGTAATCCAAACATCTTGTTTTAGAAAATAAATAGAAACAACTAAAAATAATTGAATACTTACAAGATACATTTGTGTATGTTAATTTCTATTTTTTCGCTTTTATGTGCTTTTATGTTCTTATATTTTTCTATTTTTTTAAGACATATGTCCATTTTCTTCCCAATCTATTTTATTTTTTTATCATTTATAATTTATAACTTTGATAAGTACAATAATAAACTCTAACTCCATGTTATTCACAAAACCAAATTACCAATATATATATATATATATATATATATATAGGAGAATTTTAAATAGACTCAAATTTTTATTAAATCAACCCAATGAAGCTGAAGAATATGGTAATCATGATGAATGTGGTTAGTTTTCATTGGTTGCATATGTAATAGTAGAGAAATGAATTTAGAGGATATTTTTATTTTCATGATAGTTAGAATGGGTGTGTCAATTTAACATTCTATAAATATATATATATATATATATATATATATATACATTTCATTATTTGCATATGACTTGGCTTAGCATGTCACCACTTATGTTACTTATAACCATGGTCACTGTTTGACAATCAAAAATCTTCATTAACTCAAATACCCACACTTGATAATAAGCACTCCTAAGTGACTAGAAAGAGTTGGAATGGAAACATGGACTCCCCTCACAAAAACCAATGGCCTCTTTATTTCCATGAACCTTGTGTCCATAGTCTTCTAAAATCTAAGCAAAAAAAATGGTTTTAGAAACAAAATCAAATAATGGAGGTCCATTATTTAAAAGCTCCACCATGGCCTTAGGAGTTTGAAGTGGTGGTTGCCTATGAATGGCATGATAAGCTCATCAATGATTGATGGACCCCATGGCCATGGTCAATTATAATACAATTTTCTTGTTTAGCTTATTCTTCTTTTTAGAATGGCCCCCCAAAGGCTTTTTTGTACTACACATTTGTCCTACTCTTTTCTCCCTTAGTTTTGGTTTAATAGAGTACTCATCCATACTGAATACTAATAAAGATTGATGACTAACATGTTCTCCTTGACTGCACTTGTGTTCCTACACGAAGCCTGAATTGTTGTTTTTTATTATTCAGAATTTGAATAATCCAGGCTTGTAAAATGTGTGTGTATTTTAAATAAACACACACATTTTCAACATTTTCAACATAAAGAAAAATCCATCAATGGCATTGTGATCATGTCTCAAGTGAAATAACAACACTAAATTCTCCCAAAATTATAGTCCTTCCCTTGCACACCAACCAAGTGGATTTCTACACTAAATAGCGAAATTTAGAAGCTATGGGTAATTCGTTCCTTTGCGACTTTCTCTTAAAATGGGTGTAAAATCTTTGTCCTTAAGAACCAACAAGAATTGAACTTATTCTAATTTTTGATGGTAGAGTGCGAAATTCGAAACGTATTCACAAAAGAAAAACATTTGGAAGGGAACATCAAGCCGCAGCATAGCCATTCCTTTATTCAGTCTGATAAGAAAGCCTAAACTTTAAAGTAACGTCAAAAAGGCGATGGAGATAACGGCCATGTACAGAAAAAGCGCTGGGAATGTAAATCCGGCAGCTCTGGCCTCTATTTGCGGCACATTCCCGTCTATGCCCTAACGGATACATAAGCCTCAACGGACGGACGCTGTCCGGTTTTTCGACGGAAAAATGGAACGGGAGTTCAGACTGGACGGCTCCGTTCGTATATTATTGCCACCCCCCAACCGCTACTTTGCCCTTCTGAACCAGGTCGACATAAGATGGACGATATCGTTCAAGATTCGACGATATCTGTCCGTTCGGTGGACGCGCGGGGCCCACAACGGCCGTGCTCCTCCTACTGCTCTTCTTCATCAAGAGTGTGCGCAACGCTTATCGATGCATTGCGGGCTTCTTCGTAGTTTTCTCTCCCATTACTGCTTTTACTGATTGGTGTCGAGTCTCTGAGCTTGCGACAGATGTACCCAGCTCTCATTTCGGCTTTGTAGTGCAGGAATTGCTCGCATTTCGTGGTTTTGCAGGGAAACGCATCAGGCTGAATACATCAGGAATTGGTGAGTAAACCAGCTCGTTCTGTTGATTTTGGCTTGGATTCGTGGTTTAGTGTCGTGGACGATTGATGCTGCAGCGGTTCTGCGGATGTGCTGCAGTTCTTTGTTGGATTACTGTCTCTTGTGACGGACTGCGAGCTGGTTTACGTGGTCGTACGCCTCATTTCGCATTGTCTCGAAGATGGGGCGTTGGAGTGAGAGGTGTTAGTTCTTTCTGGAACTCGGGAGGTTCTCCCTGTGGTCCTTTGGGTCTCACATGGAGACAAAAGCGTAAATGTCGATGCTTGTAGCTATTCCTCGGGTGGTCGAATGGCACTGCATTGAATCTCAGCGTGCGAGTCCAACGCTATGGTAGTGCTCGTGCCCTTGTCGATGTAGACCCCACGAATTCCCTTCTTCCTCTTTCGGAAAACTGATTAGCGGTCGAGAGTCTGTTAGACAGATGCAGAATTTAGATCAAGCTCCTGTAATCCGAGATTGCCCTTTCCAGTGTATACTTGTATTCTCTAGTCGGACGCTGAAACACCATCCCCGATGATCCATGACAGTTACTTGCGTCTGACATAGTGGGAAATCAGTTGATCACACTCTGACTGGCTTGTAGGGATCTTGTGGCGCAACTTTCACCTCCTAGCGAGGCATTTATTGCTTTATTTGGACATTTGCTGCTTCCTGAAACATGGATACCGTTTACGTGAAATCGGGTCAGCACGTCAGATCAAGGGCCGTTCTCATTGCCGTTATTAATGTTATCGCTGTGGTAAGTAGGTGCTCTCTCATTTCGTTTTGTGCGTTGCAATGTTTAAACTCTTGAAACCACTAGGTCCACCTGACCTTCTGGATATTTGACTGTTCGACTTATCTCTTCTGTTAGATACCTTCCCAGATTATACTTCCGTCACCTGTACGACATACTTTCAGTTTCACCTTAGAGAGCAGTGTCAATTCAAGTTCTCTAAATGAGTAACAAATCTCTTACAATTCTGCGTGCCACTGTGTTACAGCTAGCCGCGCTAGCCCTCATATCATTAGGTATATGGTTGGCAACGAGACCTGGTGATTGTGAAAAGTATTTGACTGTCCCAGTGTTTCTCCTTGGAGCTTTCTTCCTACTTGTGTACGCTCCATATCCCACATTAGCTTGCAAACATCGATGTTTTCTATTCCTACTAGTGAACAGTTCTTCATGCAGATTTCAGAAGTGTCTGTGCCGTGCGATAGTGCCTCATGCTAATCATTAACTCCACGTTGTGTGTTCAGGGCCGTGCTGGGTGTCTCCGGTTCCTGGTTCGGATTTGTCCCTGTCCTGTATACCGTATCCTTTCAGATGACCAAAAGAATGGGTCCCATGCTTTTACATGCTTTCAATCATTGTAGATAGTGTCATCAAAGTTAGGTCATTAGTTGACCCTCCCCATCCTTTTGTTTTTTTTCTTCCCTTCAGATCCGTCTTTTATAAATTCGTTTACTTCCTCTTCTCTGTTAAAGGAATTTCTGAAATTCAATCTATGGACGTGTCAACCTGGCTTGAATCTACCCTTGACTGGATTCTTCGCAGTACTTGGTGCTGATGTTTGTGGTGGCACTCGGGTTTCTGGCCTTGTCGATTTTCATGTGAGTTTCTCAAGCATTCTACCTCACTTTTACAGGCAAAATTTTTTGTCTGGATGTATGTCATATCGTCTCTTTCTTATTTTAATTTACAAAGCGGTGTAGACACACTCTTAGAATAGACTAGCCGTCCAATGTAGATGACGGACAGGTCTTGCATGTAGCACGAATCTTCTTGCGTATATTTCCTACGATTATATACTGTCCCTGCTGGAATACTGGGTTTTGATGCTGTCACCAGTCAGCGTTCTATATCTGTTGTGACCCGGCCTTTTTGCGAAGATCTTGCACTCTGTTGAATGGGGTGGCAATACTTTCCAGTAGACGAGCTATCAAATTGACATTAACCTACTTTTGTGATTCAGATTCGCTGTAACTAGTCCAGGGCAGGGCTACTATGTTGCAGGTCAAAAGTGAGTGTACATTCTCAATCCATTTTCACTCCCTCTCGGGACCCTGAGTGACTACCGTGATGGGAGTCGCAGGAAGCATAAGTTTTTTTTGTTGAACGTAGTGATCATCTAAGTTAAATACTGTCGAAGGAGTGCGTCATATTGCGGCAACATTCAAAAATTTGTCTTATTAGTATATCTCATCTTTAGTCTGAATACGCGATCCTCCTATCGAATTTTGGCTTGACATTCATGTTCACTGTGATTTTGTGTACTCCAGCTTCAAAGAGTACAGGATAAGCGACTACTCACAGTACATGCAAGACAGGGTTAGTGATCGCTTTTGATGTCTTTTGGTGATCCTGTGCACGCTGCGGATCCCAATGCAGTGCCCTCCCTCTCAGTTATTGAACTGTTCTTTTTGGATATTCTTTCTACCATATCACCATTCGCTGGCCAGTGCTACCATCTCATACGAGTGTTTCCCCCACTCTGATGCTACGAGCACTGTGTTTGTGTGTCTATGCAGTTAGACAAGGTCTCCAACTGGAACCATCTGAAGGCTGTCATTGCATCCCACGATACTTGCGCTTATTTCGACAACCTCTCGGTATGTGCTGTTTGTCCCGTGGTGTGCAGTGACTTGAAGTCTGTATCGCCCTGTCGAAATCTTTCATGTCTTTAGATTAGCTGGTTTTCCCAATTTCATTTCTATTTACTAGTCCCTTCGTTCTAAATTGTATATTGTCGAATCTTTTTACTAGGTTAATTTGCATTGGCTGCTTTTGTTAAATGTTTAGCTGGGTTATGATATATGCCTGGAGCCTTTGTTGACTTCCGATGTTTTTATTTGCTCCATGTAATGATTCTGTGTTGTGGTTCCAGCCAGTAGATTATCCGTACGCGCAACCAAGTCCGGTACAGTCTGGCTGCTGTCGTCCTCCTGCAGAGTAAGGATGAAGATTGTTTGAGCATATTAATGTATAACTGCTGGTTGTCCCTGCTTTATCGTAAAGTTCAGAGTGCGAATTTGTCCTATCCCTGCCTCGACTCTTCTCATGTTGCTGATCTATATCATTGTAGGCTCATGCAAGAGCCTATACCGATTTTGTTTCCTGTGCACTGCCTTGAACCTTTTTCACCTTACACCCTATGTCCGTGTTCAGATGTGGCTATGCGTACACCGGGAACGGTACCTTCACCACCACATCTGTGCCGCTGTCCGCCAACCCAGACTGCGTTAGATACACAAATGACGAAACGATTAAGTGTTACGACTGCGATTCTTGCAAGTAAGGCCTACGGCTGTTCCCATTCACGCACTATGTTGATTCTCTGAAGATCATTCCCCAGTTCGAACAGGTCGGGAAAGGTGTTCCGTTCACATTCATGTTTTAATAGTGTTTGGATTGTAGGGGTGGAGTGGCAGAGGACCTAAGGAAGACTGGAAAAATCGCGGGCATTGTTACGCTGGTGCTCTTCGTGATTCTGGTAAGCGTCTTGTTGTACTCCATCAATTCCTTTCCAGTACATGTCTGTTGTAGAGCGGTGAGTTCTATGCCCATCTACGGATAACACCTTCTGTCTCATCTTTTTGTAAGGAACGCGAGGCCCTTATTGACCACCTCGTTTCAAATTCACTGTTCGATGGGCTTTGAGTTCTCCAGCTCGTATTGTGAAATTGTGGATTGGGTGCACGAGGTCTATGAGCGGATTGCAGATTCCTTCTGTATCTATTATTCACATATCTACCGTGACATTGCGCAGGTGGCCATTTTGTTGGTGGCTTGTACTGTGGGCCACCACATCCGAAGGGAATACTGGAGCAGAGTGTAATCTTAGCGGTCCACATACGTGACTTGCGCACCCGCCCGCAACATGTATGCAATAGATGACCCATGATCACTCAGTTTTCACTTCTTATTTTGAGCAATCTCTGATCTACGGGTCGTTGTGACATAACACTTTTCTGAACCCTTCTCAGGATCTCTGTCGTGGCTTACACCTAGCGTTCTGGTCCAGGATTGTCGGGTTGGTATCGTGGAGGAACGCCTACAAGCTTTGAAGTATGCTTGTGTGCGCCACCTCCTCAAATTTCAGGTCTATTAGACGGCTTGGAATTTGTGTCTCAATGCTGAGATCTGCCACCGGCCTCCAGAGCTTCCACTCTTTCACACTAATGAGGTTATCAATAATCTTATCCTGATGTCTAGGTTTCGCAAGGGACAATATGGCATCCTCAACATGTATACTATCACTATCATAGAAAACACGTTTTTTTGCCGTGTAATTTTGAGTACTTATCGTAGCAGCTGTGCATCCCTCATTGAGTTGCGTGATACTTACAGTTTTAGCCTCCATCTCACTAGTTGTGCAGCGTACACATCGGTTTCGATCTTTGCCCTTGAAGGCTGTACATTTATGCAATGAATACACTTAGTTGCATGGCGAGGCAGTTGCAATTCCTTGCCTTTGGTCAGTTCTGGGTTGATAATTAACTTCAACTGTCGAAGAGCAACAAGTGCAAAATCTTTACATCTATTTAAAATCTTAACACCTCATGTTACATTGCTTCTTTCTTGTGCCCAATACTAATAGAGTGACTGCTCCAAAATCAGATCATTCATAGTAATATTCTCAAACCTGTGACAACCCCTTGACATTTGGCGATATTTAATTATCTATGGTGAGAACTCTTTCTCCGGTCTTCTACACCCACCTATTACTAAATTGTAAGTTAGTTGGAAATATAACAAATGATGTATTGTAGAATGTGTGTATCCACCATATCCTCTCAATTTTGTATTTTTGTTTACTCATGAAGTAATGAATCTGATTAAATGGCACGAGCAAATGTGAGCATCATTTACCAAGAGTTTTAAGGGTGCCTGAGAATTGGCAAAACGTCACAGTTCGGCCTTCTTAAAACAGCACCCTATAAAAACAAAATAACAACCTTTCCCCACGATCACACTTTAACAACTCCCAATGAACCAGAAGCTTCCCCCTTTTTGAACACGTCAATGAATTTAAATTACTGAGTTTGAATTGCTCGCAAACCTGCATTGCAGTCATGGAGACGTACCTTCCATCTTCACACTACTGATGCCCAAACCCTGCAACGGAATTTGCACAAGATCACTGCACCAACTAGATTCAAGGGTTGAATGCTGTTCACTTCGCGCCATGAGACGCAACAGGCTTGAAGTCGAGCAGTCCAGATGGATAGTCTGACGTTTGCGCGACGGGGAACCACTACGGATCTCATTTGCCAGAGCCAAGCACCAGTTGTGACCTGAGCTGGAGCTGAGGACCGCGATGACTCTGACCTACGCTCGGACAACCCCGACATCCCGACTCAAAAAATTAGTCCCATATGCACTGGCACTTCGGATTGCAGAATGCATGTGATAGTAATTGCACTAATTTGACTATTCTTCACCTAGACGAGAAATGCCTCTGCAAAAGTGATTCTGGTGCAGGCGATTCCGGTACTACAAACCTGGCTAGAGTTGTTGGGGGAGGGGGTGCGAATTCTGGGCAGGCCTCAAGCATGTCATCGGACGTGTTGCGTTGCGTGTGAGCGGAGCTTTCTGGGGGCGGGTGTGGAATTGGAATCGTGCGGGAAGTGAGGGTGTGGTTCACCATGCCTTGAACACATTCCCATCCTCGGCGCTGTTTCCCTCGTGTTCTGCTCCCCCGTCTTTGAGCCGTCGTCTTGCGCTTTCGCGCAAGGTCAAGGAGCATGAAGATCGTTGACAGGAGTTCAGGAGTTGATTCGTGGGCTCGTTGACAGGGGTTCTGTTGCCGATCGGTAGCTCTCACACCGAAGTATTCCCAGTATTTCTGATGGCCCGTTCGTGATGGCCATCTCGAGCATGAGTGATCGCCGAAGTTGCACACAAGGGCCACGAACCTCATGCCGGATTTCTCGTGGACAGAAATCCAGTTGCAGCCTCCGGAGATGGGGTCGGGTGGGCGGAGAGGAAGTGGTTGCACGCTGGGGCAACGTGCAGGTTTGTTGATACGTGGGCGGCTTTGATGAACGATGCAGATCATCGGAGGGAGATTGGTGACGAGCCTGTTCTTGCGGGACGCCATTCAGCGAGGCATCGCGAGTTCCACGAGTGGGAGGGGGCGCATGACCCGGGTTGTTTAGAAGCTGTTGAAAGTCATGTTTTGCACACAAGGAGGGACGCAGCTCTGAGGTCCAACAATCAGACTCTGCAGGTCCTGGAGACATAGTCCAGTGCAAGACATGCTGAGGCAGCTGGTATGGAGTGTTGGCATCGCATCCTGATCGCTCGGGGCCGAAAACCGGTAACGACGAGGAAGCATGAGCGACAGGCGCAGTTGGAATGCATGGACAGCTGGTATGGAATGGAATGCATGGCTGTGGAGATAAAAAAAAAAAAAAAAGAAAGAAAAAAAAAGAGGGCAGGATTGGTATCGAGGAGAGTTGGTTTGAAGAGTTGCAAGACAGTAAGTTGCAGGGAATGAGTTGCCGAGTTGAGGGTTGATCGTGTCTTATTCCATATTCCATACGAGGAGAGTTGAGTGAAGTTGCCATGTTCCACTGACTGAGTGGTTGTTGTGGGTGATGAACGAGTGCAGTTCACAGTTGCGCAGCGTCAAGAATATTTTGATATAAAAGACGAGGTGATTCCTGGATCGGTTTTCAAACATCCGAAGGGGCGGTGGCGCAGTTGGCTAGCGCGTAGGTCTCATAGCTACGAGGAATCCTGAGGTCGAGAGTTCGAGCCTCTCTCGCCCCACGGAACCTTTTTCCCCTCCGGCTCTACTTCTATCTCCATCTCCCGATTTTGTCCTGCTCTGAATCGGTTCCAACGCACTTCTCGAAAGGGGGAAAAAAAAGATGAAGCACCAATTATGAGATAAAACATGGCAATCCACAATCTCTTTATTTTAACCTTTACCGTTATCATTATTACTCTTTTCTCAAATCACTAAAAATATCATCCTTGTTTTATGATTCTCATGTTCCAGTGGCCTCAACACCAAATTCTTGTATTTCAGTCATCTGAAGTTTCCTTTTTTTTGGTGCACCCATCCAGAATTGTACCAAAACATGTGAGACTTTGACGTTCTTTCTTGGCTTGAGTCAATTCTTTTCTTTGGTATTTCATTAAACTAATCTGACCACACCTATCAGTCTGCCCTTGGTGCATTGCAAGTCTGGATAAGTATGACCTTCTTCACCTATTTCTTGTATGACGCGCCAATGCAAAATTATTACACTGTTCACCAAGTCGAGGGAATCCTGTCCCAAACCAAAGCCAAGCGCGAGTGGTCCTGCACCAAACTTTGGGTTTGCAATGCCATTTTTCAAGGATGGTAGCAACACAGGGAGAACATTTCTTATTCCCAAGTTGAAATCCCATTTTTCAATGTAATTAGATCGAAACTACACTATGGGTTATGTGGGGAAAATGGACATCCAGGAATAGAAATGTGGACAATCAGGGAAGTGCACATGATTTCCCCCATGTCCGTTTTACCCACTTTGCTAGTGCAGTTTTGACCTGCGACTTGCAGTTGGGAAATGGAGATACTTCCCTTGTGCAAGCTCTTGGCACTACAATTTTTGCTTTGACCTTATCTTTGTAGGCTTGGACATTGATGTTTTTGTTGCCTTGGCCCAATAACAATTTCGAAGAGCTCGGAGGAAGATGCATGTTCTCAAATTTGATGTTGGTGGGATGCTGATCGGTAGGAGACGCGATTTGCATTGGTGATTTTTTCCTTTGGGTTATTTTTATCAAACAGGAGATCAACCTGTTGGCGTATCCTTCCAGCCTTAACTGGTGGAGAAGCTCTTGTTCCGAATTCGAAATTTAGCCTCGACGCCGACAATCAATAAAATCTTCTCTATATTGTTAGACGTTGCCCTCATCCTGTCGTAGGAATAGTAATATCGTCCACAGAATTCTGATAACAGAATATTTTTCATGGACAGATTGTTCTAGAAGGACCTTCGCGTTAGTATTTATTTTCTGCATTATTCTCTGGATGTTGGACTCGAGTACCACACTGTAGTGTGCTTAACTTCTGGCATATATTTTACATTATATGTTGAATGTCGGCACAAAAGCCTCGATTGCAGACATTCAATCTTCTATATATGTCGTTGAGGTTTTTCTGTATTTCATTAATTAATCGGACCACACCTAACAGTCTGCACCATATACATTGCCAACTCAAGAGACTGAACTTATTACAAGGTCGTGGACTAAAGTGTGCACCCTCACCACTCCTATACAAACTCATCCTCAGAACCTCATTACAACACAGCTTCACATACTAGTCTTGCAAGTTATGCAAGTACGCTCGGATTAGAAGCAACGGCCCTTTCGTAGCGAGCCTTACTGTTCAGTCGGGTGAAGAGTCTCCGACGACATGACAGGATGTGATCTGCACCGGCCTATGGTTGCCCTTGTGGCAGTGGCAGCTCTTGTTCTGAGCTTGGTGCAAGGAGCTTCAGCTGCGTGGTCGACCTTCATAACCAAAGCTGCCTTTGATCAGACCTATTTCCCAGGTCATATTGCGTTCTACACATACGACAGCCTCAAGGCCGCTGCAGGGGCGCCTTTCACTCAATTCGGGAATTCGGGAACTCTGGACGACCAGAAGCGAGAGTTAGCGGCATTTTTTGCGCAAGTTAAGCACGAGTCTGGAGGTACTGATATTGTAGCTCCACACCACTGCCATTTGCTATTCATGGTTTAGAAGCCCATGTGGATTCACAATCATTGTACTCAATGAACATTGGCTGCTGCAAATCTATCAGTCACTAAAAGGATAAAGTGCGTGTGTGCAACAGTATGTGTTTCATTTTCAATTCTTTGCAGCTTGTTTAACTATATTATGCTTACTAAAATGCTTTCGCACAGGTTTGAAGCAAAAATACGAGCAAGGATGTAATATACAGTGTCAGCAAAGTTACTGTGCTTCATCACCTACCTACCCATGTTCTAAGACACAACCTCCCTACTACTTTGGACGAGGTCCCATTCAACTGTCCTGGTGAGTGAAGTCTACATGAAACACAACACAACAAGGGCAGAGAGAGCATGTAGCAGGAACTCGAATATTTTGCTGACTTTTGGTAAATTACTAGATTATAGACATCTGATACTTGAATGTTTTATCTCCGATTGAAGAAGTTAACAAGTTACGATTTGCTATGTCCTTTCGTTTGCTCGTGCAGGAACTACAACTACGGTGCTTGTGGCGATTACATAGGCAAACCCCTTCTTAGAGAGCCAAGCCAGATTTCCAATAGCGCTGTAACTGCATTCCAGACAGCACTCTGGTTCTGGATGACCCAAGGTCCCCATCTTGCCAAATCATTCTCCGGCACTACCAAAGCCATTAACGGTGACATCGAGTGCAAAGGAGGCGCCCACTACTCCGAAAAAGGGCACGAACAGATGTTAAGCCGGGTCCAGTATTACAAGAGCTTCTGCTCCGTACTTGGGGTCGACCCCGGCACCGATCTCGAATGCTGATCGCGTCTGGTCGGCATCAGGATCCAGTGATCCACCTAAGTTGGGTTAAAACCCCCAGTTAGGCATGTATCCAATGTTGCACCATAGCATGTTGCTGATGTCGCAGGCACTGTTTGGAGACACCGTTTCCTGCACAAGCAGTAGCTTCCTAATGGCTTTTAATTACCATGAGACGAGTGTGAAGTAATTCTCGTCCTCGAGAGCTCTATTTCTTGGTTATAGTTGTTGTGTGTGTTTCTCTTTGTAGACAGATTCCTTTTGATGGCGTGAGCATAATGTAGTGCTTAAGGCAAACACAGTGACTGAGTCGTGAGACCCTGCTGCTGGAGGCACAGCATCGGAGTACTCATCCATACTGAATATGAATAAAGATTGATGACAAACATGTTCTCCTTGACTGCACTTGTGTTCCTAAACGAAGCCTGAATTGCTGTTTTTTATTATTCAGAATTTGAATAATCCAGGCTTGTAAATCATGCAGTATGTTGAAAATGTGTGTATATATATTTACAAATTCATTCTTGTTTTATTTTTGTTTTCATTGTTACATATTTTGTGGTGCTCTGAATGTTAAGATTCTAAAACAATTAATCAAAGTTTAAGCAAAAAATCACTATGTAAAGGAATCAAAAAGTAAGTTGTTTGTTATTTTTAGCTATGTGTGTATGTGTAAGTATATGCCTGATAAGAAAGTGAGTTTTGATTTGATGAAAGAATTCGTATTTGATGGAAATTGACATTGATCTTCCCATCAAGTTTTAATTAATTGCAAATTATTTTAAATCTTGGTTTTGAATTACAATGATTTGTAAAACATGTATGAAGATAAAATCAAAGAAGTAAACATGGCAATAAAAACTTGGATAACAATTGTTATGTAATTTGTAAAATTACCTGGAACTCATTGAATCATCATTTGATTTACTTATTCAAAAACATAATTAATGTTATTATAGAATGGATAGGATTTTTTTGTTTTGTAATACATAGTATGTAGAGTTAAGAAAAGCTAGTAAACTAATGAATAGATAGTTTAGAAGGTAGGATGGATGATTCAATCAAAAAAAGTAGTTATCATTGTATTGTGTAGTGGTTGGCATTTTGAGGTAAACATAAGTAGGTTGAGGAAGAAGTAGGAGAGGCCAGACTATGAAAGTTATGAACCGGAGTAAGCTTGGTGCTACCTCTTTGTTTCTTTGTACTTGAAGAGTAATAGATAGTTTCTAAATAATGTGAAGTAAAATTCTAGAATGAAAAAGAGATTTAATGTTGTATATGAAGTATAGAATTTATTGTGTATGAATACAATGGAGAATTGTAAGTGGACAATTGGAAGTATTGATGAAGAATGGATATGGATAGAAGAATTATAATACTAAGATTTGAGAAGGAGTCTTTGGAGTCTCGATTTGTGTGAAGAAGTGTAGAGAGAATGATAGTCAAATGTGGAGGATTCCAGTGATTGGATTATAGAGTGATTGTATGTTGTCTTTTAAGATAGTATAGTATTACATATCGTTGTCATAAATTAAGAGAAGAAAAGAGACAATGAATGTAAAGATAGAATTATCGATTGTAATATTTGATAGAATGTGGGGGACAATGTAGCATTCTTGGATGTTTTTAGTTGGTTAGGAGATAATTAATTGTATGATCCTAATATATAAACTCATGTGGATAGTCTTTCCCTGTGTTCGAATTCTCCTATATATGTTTATTCTCATTAAATTAGTTTGGAGTAAGTAAAATGACAATTATATTTTGGTGGCGCTACTAGAGATTGATAATAGTATTGAGTGTTAGGAATTAAGTATGGAACGTGTGATTGCAGATGTCATACGAAGAGGTTACAAAATTAGTATTGGTTTGAAAGTGAAGCAGAACGTGTAGTTAAAGTGAAGCAGAACGTGTAGTTAAAGTGAAGATGGAAAGTAATTTTAATATTATATGATGAAAGATTATGATTAATAAGAATGAGAATATCACATTGAGAAAAATATGCTAATTGAAAGGAAGATAAGGAAGAGTGTAAGGAAGAAATTTATTGCTGGACAAGCAAGAATGGAATCTAAAAAGGAAGCATCGATAGAGTTAGATTAAACCATGGTTGCATGCCTGTTGGCATATCCGAGTATACCAAAAACTTGACAGACCATTAAAATTTCAGTCATATATACCATTAAGAAAACTGCCAAGAACACTCGTGGAAAATTTTATCAACAATGTAGTGTATCCCTTGAGTCCATTAACTAAAAGTGAAGGAAGCTAAAAGGAATTGGATACTCCATTGGATTCTTTCCCAATAGTGGGTACAACCTATTCTAGCCAATAGTTAGTTCTTCAAAATGGCACAAATTGCTTACCAATAAGAACCAATTTAGAATGTTTCAAAATTCTTCTTTTTTATCTCCAATTCAATCAATAAAATTATTTGTGGATAATAATAGTAAATTGAGGAGGTTTGAAAGTCTAAAATAGATAATTGGAGAAGGTAGTGATTATTTTAAAAGAAAATTAAGTAGAACATTGACATCTTTAATGGTGACGGGAGAACTAGCAGTTCCAATTGCAGTTCAAATGGGTGCAATGGATGATTGCATAACTAACATAGCTCCATTACCTACTTTTAGAAGTTTGTCAGATGCAGATCCAGATCAATATTTGTTTCAATTTCTAACTGCATGTGTAGCCAATAATAATAAAATTGAAGATATTTGGTTGAGATGGTTGCCAACGACCTTAAAAGATACAGCATTTGAATGGTATAAATGCCAATCTGTGTTCCAATTTTTTAATTGAGAGGTATTGAAAAATATATTTTTAATCCATTTTCGATCAATTGGAATTGAAGAACATCTCAAGGAAAAGTTAGTGAATAATAGAATGGTACTAAGAAAAGTGATGTAATCATGTTATGGACGAGTAGCAAATATTCTTCAAAAATGGCTAAATAACCAAATGCTCAAATCGTTTTTTTTGTCTGTGTTGATTAATGGACTACATCCATTAGAACTGAAGATGTTTATGGACGAGGCCCAACTAGCCGCTTTGCTTCCTCACTTGATTGAGCAAAGATATAGGAAGAATGTCATTATGACCAATTCCTTACTACAGGAGCCACAATGATTCTATCTCAAAGAGGTTATCAAATGCCAGTTTGGAATGAAACATCAGTCAGTTACCTGAGAATGATTGATTACAATACAAATATTAGTGCAAATCTATAGGGAATAGTATATACTGTCCTATTACAGGGTGTACCACCAATAATAGTAGTTCCAAATTTCCTATACTTTTCTTATCAAAAATGAATACCTATAAAAGAATTACCTAATGAATTAGTATCGAGAGATCAAAACGAGGCTTTGTTGTTAATTTTGATTAAACAAGTCTGGATAAGTATGACCTTCTCCACCTATTTCCTGTATTCTAGTAATCTGAAGTTCCTTGTTTTCGGTACATGCATACACAATTGTGCCAAGACATGAAATGTTCAAAATTTATCTTCTCCAAAGGTGCATAGATGTTGACAAAGTCATTAAATTGCCACATAATTATCTCTTGTCAACATCATTTATGTTTGAAATTAAGAAAAAACATTGAAAATTTAGAAATAATATAGTAAGTTTAAATATAATTATAAGTTGTGTTTTGATTTATGATACTATTTAATAAAAATTCTATATTTACATGCAAAGCTATAAATGTTTGATTCATTAATCTTTATTTTTTAATTACCCAGTAGAAGCTTTGAATAAATATCACCTTCTTTCCTTGTTTTTTGGTACTGTACAATTGATTGGTTGATAGCCCCAAATGTATATATTAATCCACTATTTCTATTTTCAATGTTGTGATAATAATCAACTGTCACTTTATTCAAACATGAAAACAATGAATGGCATAAAGTCTGCAAAACATCAATATTTTTGTTTTTTTGTTATGTTTGTATCTATTTTTTTGTTGAAATTCTGTAATATTTGAATAAAAATAAATCTAGATAAAAGTGAAGGAGAAATGATTAAATTAATTTACATTGATATATCTCAGTGCTACATATGATAACTGTAATTATCGTTTTACTTACTCCAGACTAATTTAATCAAAATAAACCTATTTAGGAGAATTCGAACACAAGAAAAGACTATCTGCATGATTTTATACATTAGGGTCACATAATTAATTGTCTCTTGATCAACTAAAAACACCCAAGAATGCTACATTGTCCTCCATATTCTATCAAATATTACAATCGATAATTCTATCTTCACATTCATTGTCTCTTTTTTTCTTCTAATTTATGACAACGATATGTAATACTATACTATCTTAAAAGACAACATACAATCACTCCATAATTCAATCATTGGAATCCTCTACATTTGACTGTCATTCTTCCTATTCTTCTTCACACAAATCCAGACTCCAAAGACTCTTTCTCAAACCTTAGTATTATAATTCTTCCATTCATATCCATTCTTTACCAATACTTCTAATTGTCCACTTACAATTCTCTATTGTATTTATCCACGATAAATTCCATACTTCATATACAATATTAAATCTCTTTTTCATTCTAGAATTCACTTCATATTATTTAGAAACTATCCATTACTCTTCAAGTACAAAGGAATAAAGAGGTAGCACCAAGCTTATCCTAGCTCATAACTTTCATAGTCTGGCCTTTCTTACTTCTTCCTCAACCTACTTATGTTTACCTCAAAATGCCAACCACTACACAATACAATGATAACTATTTTTTTTGATTAAATCATCCATCCTACCTTCTAAACTATCCATTCATCAATTTACTAGCTTCTCTTAACTTTACATACTATATATTGCAAAATAAAAAAATCCTATCCATTCTACATAGCTCCACTCCTAACTGTGCAGCGTCCTCACACACTATTATTTGGGCTCACTAGATTGATCAATCCCAACATTGTGCATAGATGGTTCCACAGATTTTGGTTCTAATGATAAGTCTTCATCCTCCTACAATACTTCTATTGAATCTTTTCTCAATTGGACTGATAAAACTTCAATATATGCTTCCAATTCATGAATTTGAGCTTCCAATTATAGAATCCTAACATCATTTGCTTCCAATTGCTCCTGCTGTTGCCTCACCTTCTCCTTTAATTCACCAATTGTTGAAACTAACAAGATAGATATCCAAGACTGACCAATATTAGCTAAATCATCTTCCAATTTTTTTACTAACTCTTTCAGAGTTTCAATTTCTATCCTTAGCTCTTCCATTTCAATTCTATATTGGTCACCTAATTCTCTCTTTTCTTGTTTTAGTAATGCTATCTTTTCTCGTTCTATTTCCAATTGATACTTTGCCTTCTCTTGTTCCAAAATTAATGTACTGTAGATCTGAAATAGGTCTTGCC